GGGACCCCGGGCTCACGCAGGCCTTGCTCCTTCCACGGAAAAAAAGCAAAGCAGCCCGCCAGCGAAGATCTGGGGTTTGTTCCCCCTGTAGAGCTACCACGGCAACGTGGCCGTCGGGAGAACCAGCCAGGAAAGGTGCATCAGGGCCGAAAACAAAAGCAAGGGCTAAGGGAGACCCCTTCTCCAAGCCTCTGCCTGCCCACACCTACCTGGCTCCTCTTCATCAGCAGCGACCAGCCGTTCGCGTCAAACTCTTTCCTTTTCTTGTCAAGACTTTCCTGTTTTAAGTATTGCCTGTAGGAATAAGAGAACAGAGAAAGCTTACTCAGAGGAACGGGGGAAACCAGCCAGGACACCATATGTCAGTTTACCTAGGATGTCCTCTGCCATGTTTGCAGAATTAATGCAACATGGAAGTCCAATATTTTCATCTCGGTATTGGCCATTTTAAAAAGGGCTCTACAGACCCAGGCTTTGAGGCCGTCCAAAGCAGGACCAAGCCGAACTCCAGAACCCATCCAAAAAAAGTACCTGCCAAGCAGAGAGTCAAAACCACAAACAAACCAGCGAGAACAAATCTAATTCATCGGAGAGTGACTCAGGGCAGGAAAAGCTCGGCAGCCACCGGGCTGCCTCAGCAGGCTCCTGCAAGTTACACTCGAGGGGAGACGGGAGAGCTGAGCTCCGACAGCGGCCTGCGAACCGGTGCCTCTTGTCTTCTGAGGATCTTCCTCAGCATGAAGGCAGACAGGAGCAAGTGTGTCGCGACCTTAACAGCACCTCAGCAGCTCTGGAACAACCGTCCGGGGTGTAAAGTGTCCAAAAAGCCACCGCGAAGCTCCTCTCCGGGCTGGGGGTGGGCTCAGCTCGCTGGCAGATCTCCTCCTGCAGCTCTTCTCCCAGCTTTCCCTTCCACTCCCAGTTTAATTTCTTCTTCCCACAGCAGAAGACAGATGGCAAGTGCTTTCAAGCAGAGGTGAACGTGGGAAGATAACCCTGATTCTCTCAAATAAGGTCCAAGGCTTGGGGATGGAGGGAGGCAGCCCTGGGAAAAGCCGCACCACAGTCCTCCCCGAGACGCTTTGACCGGGATGGACGGGGGGCACAAGCGGGAGAAGGAGCCAGCCGTGGCGGGGGTGGGATGTCAAACACCTCTCACCAGCCTTAGCAGAGGGAGAAAAGCCGCAGAGCCAGTCCCGTTCCACTTCCCAGAACCGGAGAACAAGGAAAGCTCACGGGTCTGGCCCATCTCCTCCACACACAGAGCCTGCCACCAGTCTGGCCTCAATTATACCACCGGAAGACCAGGAAATTGGGGGGTTTTTTCCTGCCTCCTTGAAAAAGTTCAGAAACTCTACCAAGACCGTGCCCACAGCATGCCCAGGCAACGGCCACGCTTTTTCCTTTGCGGATACAAACACCTTGAGCCATTCCCTTCACTGGGAAGTACAGAAAGGGGAGCCCAGAAAGGGCACAGACGTAAAGGTGGACCAGAGGAAGCCCAAAACGATGAGCTGACGGGCCCAGGACATTCTTGATGGCCCTAAAGCAGCCCCTCTCTCTTGGTGGCCAACACCACTAAGTGACATTCAGCTTGGCAGACACCCTCTGCCCATCTTGGTTACCAAAAGGACCAGGAAGATCTACAGAAACCATCTCCTCCACGTCTGGCATCTTCTCAAAAGAGCCCGAGGAGCTTTCTCGCTGTCGCGGCTGCGATCAGAAAGTTTGGAAAGGAAAAGCAGGGGATTAGATGCTGCTGGCTGGAGCGGAGGGGTCAGGAGAGCGTCTGGCGCGGAGAGGGAGGCGGGTTTGGCCGCCAGCTCGGGGAGATGTGCCATCTTTTGGAAATCTGATCCACAAAGACTTGGCTAAATCGCATCTCGCTGTTAGCAAACGCCGAAAGGCGACGGGAGAAGCGGGCGACGAGACCCGCAGACCTGCCCTAAAGATGCAGAGTCGAACTCCCTGTCCTGGTGCCAGTCAGGGAACTTGTCTCTACCATAACTTTAAAGAATCATTCAGAGAAAGCTCCCCTGGGCTGAAGAGTCCCTGAAGCACCCAGGGGCCACCGAACCCAGTGCTCAGAGCGGCAGCGGAACCGCTCAGCAACCTCTGAACGCAGACACAGCCCCATCCTAGCGATCACGTCTCTAGAAATTGGCCAGAAATCGGTTTTGCTGGATGTCAGAGTGTCAAGGAGTGGAGTCTCCCTCCTGGCAGGCCCCTGAGACTCGAACAGGTCCAGACAAGCGTTTTCTATCGGCCTTCATTAGCTGGGCGCACGCTCCCAGCCCAGTTCCCCAGCGCAGGGTCTGCTGGCTGCCAGCGACTGCCGTAATTGCTCTTGGGAAGCTCTCTGCTTGGCTGCTTTGACTCGGCTGCAGCTTGGACAAGACAAGATCAGCAGGGGGTAAGTCTCAGGGAAAAAAACCCTTTCACTGAGCACAAGAAGTCTCCATATCTCATCTCCAAAAATAAAACCTAACGGCTAGAGAAGAAACCCGCTGCAACGAGTTCAAAATGAGGGTGAGCAGAGCCTCCAGCACGGTGGCTGGAGGTAGGGAGCAGACTGTCTGCACCACAAAACAAACACGGTGATGATGTTAATTAATTGAATGGCTCATTTCAATTGCAATAAAAAAAAATCCCCGGTAATTACTGCCTATTACAGCACCCACTTGAATCCTCAGCTAAAAAAAGAGCAGCAGCACACGGCCCACTCTCTTCTGCACGTTAGAGACGGGGAGTGAAGCTGTGCAGCTAAACCAAAGGATGCACCACACGAGGAACCGGCACGAGCCTCCAAGCCACGTCTCCGCGTGGACGGGGTCTGCACATACGGAGCGGGGGCGGCGAGAGGATCCGAGCGCGAGACTCAGCTGGCAGACAGGGAAGTTTAAACGGTGCCAGAGCTTCAGGGGATAAAGCAACCAGGTGGCTTCTGCACGTCCAGTTTTATCTCCAAGTACCGCAGGCCACACCTGCAACGCCAACACGCGCACGGCAGCCAGCAAACGTCGAGCTGTTTTCTGGAAGAGCGAGGAAATCGCCCACCACGCACAGTTCACATCACCTGTGCGGCTTCCTAAAAGCAGCCCGCAGCAACCCAGCCTGCCCACGGAGATCAGCGCACATCAGGCACGAAGCGTAAGAAACGCAGCACGGGTCCTGCCTAGGGAACAGCCTGAACCACCTTGGAGGAGGAGACTGCAAGAAAATGCCTCGACTTCAAATCACGAGACAACTTCAGGAGGCAGAATGGAATTGATGAACTTTGTCAGGACCTCAAGGAGAAAGGTCCGACGCAGAATTCCGAAGCGTAATGACAAGCTAAATCAAAAGCCAACATGCCTGAGACACCCCATCAAACACCGCAGGCTTTTAATCTCATTTTCCTCAATCCAAACATGGATTTTCACATCTACAGTGCTTACACACACACACAAAAACCCGACCAGGTGCCTCAAGGAGCCGTTGCAATCGCCTCCACAGCGTACTGCTAAATGTCTGAGAGCCCTGAAGCAAAGGGCACGCGAAGGGAAGCATTTCGGGCGCTGCTGCTAGCAGGAGATAAGCAGATTTCAAAGGCACGAGTCGCTCTGCACGCTCTGTCCCCAAAGCTCTCCTCCAGCCCTGGTACACTAGGATCAAGTTTGTAACTAACTTTAACAGGTTGTTTTGTGCCCACTCCGGAACGCAGGCCCTTCCAGCAGAGCTGAGGCAGCGAGTGCCACACTTCCCAAGGAGCGAGCCCGTGAAAGGTGGAGGCAGCTTGCTTAAAATCCTCTCCAGGTCTCACACCCAAGTTCTGTGAATGCCCAGATGCTGAAACAAAGCGTAGCAGCCACCAAACCACGAACATCTGGGGTCCCTGCTCGCCCCTAGCCTGGCCAGCGGACCCTGCATTGAGTCAGCGACCTTTCCTGTGCCTCAGTTTCCCTCCTCTGTGAAGCCTGGCTAAGGGTACAACACTCACCACCTTTAGGAAGCTCTAAAGATTGAAAGCATGAAAGGGTCACTAACCATGAATAGGACCTCCGTCCCTTCTTCCCGGTGTGATCCTCCCACTGCATTCAACCAATAAAAGCCTCCTAAAAGGAAACAGAGGGAAAACAATTACGTCCAGGGCAACAGCGACCTGAAATCCCGGCTCTCTACGACTCTCCCTGCGTGGCCGAAACACCTCGTCTCCTCTGGCCACCAGTCTTTGGACCTGTTCCCTCATCCCAGAGCCCCAAACAAGGTGGGCAGGACTCCTGTGTCCCCCCGCTCACCTCCCAGGTGCCTCACTTCACCAGACATCCGCGCCTTCTTCCTTGGAATCAAAGAAATTCAGGCTGAAAGGAAGCGATTTCACCCAGACCGTCCCTGCCCCAAGGCAGGCCAGCTCTGCTTGCGCCGAACACAGAGGCAGCAGCCACACCGTGAAACGAAGAGACGCTGCCTCGAGCCACTTCCAACGATTTG